CCCCATCGGGCAGCGTAGAGCTGGCCCACGAAGATCTTCAAAGCTGTAAGTCTTTGCGGGAGCAGAAAGCCCCGTTTCTCTCCCGCCGAACGCCTGTTGGCTTCCAAACAGGAATCTGCGACGCCACCAGCGCTCCTCGGCAAAAGGGCGCCAATAGCCGGAGAGCCCTGCCTGGAGTCGCGGAGGAAAGAAAGCGCAGCGCTCAGCAGGTTCTGGGGGGTCCCGATGTACCGCTGATGAGGACCCTTAGAAAAATCCTCACTCCCAATGTATAGATTGGGCCGACTGCTGCTCCCGACATCTGCAAAATGCTCTGGACTGTAAAGAGAGGGTCAGTGTCAAAGGTGGAGGAAGGAGTCGGGCCTCTGATCAGACCACCCTAGGGATTCAGAACCCCTCCGAGCTGTCCTGCCAGATTCTCAAACGCTCCAACCCCAGCCGTCCAGGGACTCGGAACCACGGCGAACTCCATTTCCCAGAAACCACTAGCGCCCCTTCAGGCTCTGGCTTCGGTCGAGAGACTACATTTCCCAGAAAGCTCGCGAAGGGCGATCCCGAGGCACTCTGGGGATGAGAGGAAGGCCGCTCTCGGTACGCGAGGTAGGGGCGGGGCCAGGCCGCGGTCTGAACTCCATTTCCCGGCGGCCTTCGGCGGCGCGCGGCGCGTGCGCAGCGTCTCGTGGCGAGCGGAAGATGGCGACAGCAGCGTCTTAGAGGAGTCGCTGCTTAGGGGGCGCGAGGGGCACGCAGGCCCGAGCCGTGGTGAGCGGGGGATGGCGTGGGGCCCCGGGAATGAAGGGAGGATGAGCCCTGAAGATCTGGGGGCGCTGCGGAGGCGCCAAAAGAGGGGGGAGCAGCGGCGTTAGGGCCTCAGTTTCTTCCCCTGCTCAGGATCCTTCCGTGGCTCTCCAGTTCCCTCAGGGCAAACTTGCAACGTGGCCCCCCGAGGCGCGCTCGCCCCGCCGTCCTCCCCTCTGTCCTTTTGCCCACCGCCACCACGCTCAGCCGCCCTGATCATTCGGCCCCGGAGACCTGTCACGCGGCCCCCCTGCCTCATGCCTTTTGCATTTGCCGGACCCTCGCCGGTCCTTTTACTCCTTCGGCCTAACTCCCTCGCTGCCCGCAGGGCCCGCCACTCACGTCACTTCCCCTGCCCGACCCTCCTTTCGCTCCACCCCCCCACCCCCCCCACCCCCCGGAATCCGCCTCTGCCCCGCTCTCATAGGCCGCTGGACCCTTCCTTGAGGTCACGTGCGGTCCCATTTGTTCCTGCCCCTGTTCGTGTGTGATGCTGTCACCCCGAGTCCCAGGAGAACAGGGGATAGGTGTGTGGCGATCGCCGCCCCGTTCCCGGGACAGTGCCTGGTTGACGTCGGCGATGGATGGATGGATGAATGAAAGCTACGCCTAGGGCCCCAATGTATGGGGGGCGGGGGGCGGATTTGGGATTCCCCGATGGTTATTGGCAGTGGCATTCTCCAAGGCATGATTTTGTGGGTGCAGGAGTTCATTGCAGCCCGTTGGGGAACCTTCCGAGTTCCGGGCCTGCGCTGAGCATGCCCCTTGGTGGATTCTGTGAGCTGACCTTGCCGTTGCCCCATCGCCGGACAGTCTCTCCACTGGGAGCCACCTTCCAGGACAGGATAACTTCGCGTGCAACCCCCTGCCCCCCACCTTCAAAAGTCTCCAAGGTGGTCATGGTTACAAAACCCGACTGCCACTTCTTTTTATCCCCAGGGGACGGCTAGTGGGTTTGAACGATCGCCTTTGGGTGAGCAGCCTTAACAAATCTTTGTGCTTGAAGTAGAGGGCCTGCAGGAAAGGGAAAAAAAAAAAAAAAAGAGGAAGACCCTCAAGGAGATGGATTGGCACAGTGGCTGCAGCCGTGGGCTCAAGCCTCACGGACCCTTGTCAGGCCTGTGGTACTCAGGGTCGACCGTGAGTCGGAGCTGATCCACCACTGTGTATATCATTCCTTTTCCTCCCTGGAATCTGCCCCCCTCCACCAGGTAAATTATCCTTAACGGCTTATCAACTATTCTCCAAGCCTCCTCCCCACCGGATCCCCGATCCCATGGGCAGAAGACACTCGCGCCTCCTAGTAAGAGTAGGGCCCCCAACCCCCACCCCGGAGTTAGGCGCTAACACTATCCCTTTTTTAGAGAGGAGGAGATGGAGACCTGGGGAAATGAAGGTTCTGGTCTCAGGTCAGTCTAGCCCCTCAGACCCAGACGCTTGACAAAAATGGATGGAATTGTGCATATTGCCTTGCGACCCAGTAGGCTGTCATGGTCATCTCACCATAAGAACCCCCAGAGCCACCGCTTTGTTTTTTTGTTTTGTTTTTGCTCCATTTCCTCTCACTTCCTGTAAAAAGGGGTGGGGGGATATGTGGCAGTAAGTGCCATCGTCCACCACTTGGCTGCTTTTCACCTGGTACGTGTGGGGGCTTGTCACCATCCGTCAGCGTTCAGATGCCCTTGCTTCTTTCTGTGTCTGCCTTTTGGTTCACCTGTGCAGCAGTGCGGTGTGCTGTCTTGTGCCTGTCGCGTGGCTATGTCGTTCATTTGCTGTTCCGGGTGCAAGCGTCCTTGTTCTCTTCCTGCGTCAATCGTATTATGATCGTGCCAGCCTGACTGCAGGGTGATGGTGCTAGCGGCCTCTGACTCCGGGTGACACACGGTGACACCTGGGTCTGCCCACGGCCAGGGTCGACCCTCATCACCTATAGTAGCGTGTGTCCTTGGCTGATTTTCAGAAACGGCTCACCAGGCCTTGCTTCCTGCTCTTAGCCTGGAGACCTGTTTGGCGTCCCAGGAACGCACAAACCTCCAGTGGCAGGCGGGTGGGGGCTGTGCACTCGAAGCACAGGCCAAGTGTCAAACCAGGGTGTCCCTCGCGGAAGGTGAAATTCTATCACTGAGCACCCCTCCTCCCCCGCCCAGTCCCCTTTCCCCTCAATATGCTAGAGCAGCGGTTCTCAAGCTGTGGGTTGCAACCCTTTTGGGGGTCAAACGACCCTTTCACAGGGGTCGCTGGGTTCATCCCAGTAGCAAAATGACAGTGATGAAGTAGCAATGAAAATAATTTTATGGCTGGGCGGTCACCACAAGGTGAGGAACTGTCTGAAAGGGTCGGGGCATGAGGAAGGTGGAGAACCAATGTCCTGCAGTGTAGTTCTCACCAACTTGGTGGATCAAACCTTCCCGCAGCTAGCTGGTCCTGAGCATGGGAGGGTGCTGTGGTTGGAATTTTTCCGAGCTCATTCGAAAAGGCATGTTCTGGGGCCTAGTCCGAGGCCAGCCTTGGAGCGGAGACAGGAAGCGTGGAAACAGCAAGTGGCCACTGTGGTCCATTTGTCCTGTCATCCAGCAGATGCTCTGGGGCTTGCCCTCTAGATGGACATAAAGTCCTCGAGCTGGGACCTGGGGACCTAGGAGTCCATTGGGGAAGGCAAGCGCCATCAGTCACCCCCAGATGACAACCCCTTGCACACACGTCTGACCCGGAGTGAGGAGGGGCATTGGAAGGCCAGGCAGGGAAAGGACAGGCTAGGGAAGTGGCAGGAGGGGTAGGCCCACGCATCCCACCCACCAAGACCCAGAGCCTGACCCACCCCTTTTTTCCCCCCAGGGACTATCTGACAGCAGCCATGGCGACCAGCAGTGGGGACAGTGTCACCCGCCGGAGCGTGGCCTCTCAGTTCTTCACCCAGGAGGAGGGAGCAGGCATCGATAGCATGACCACCTCAGAAAGGGTGCGCGTGGGGAGAGGGGCTCGGTGGGGAGTCACGACCCTAGCTTTGGGTGGGCCACCCCTGAGTCTCTGAGCCTCGGTAGAGCCAGCCCCCGCCTCTGCTTCCCCCGCAGGTGGTGGATCTCCTGAACCAGGCAGCGCTGATCACCAATGACTCGAAGATCACAGTGCTTAAACAGGTGAGGGGAGCGGGGCGGCTGTGGAAGAGAAGGCCTTGGTTGTCAGGACGCCTGACACGAGGGAGACATCGCCCAGAGCCGCTCAGCCCAAGGCAGAGGTCAGACAGGCCTCCACTCTTCCCACTTCTTGCCAGTTCGGGCACCAGCCGTCCCTCCCAGGGCACTCTCTACTCCTCTCCTAACGGCCCCAGGGAACTCCACAGCCCTTACTCGCTGCGAGGGGCGTTCTTAGGAAGTGAAAGATTGCACAGCAGGTCCAGGGACAACCCAGCATGCAGTTTTCCAGCCGGGACGGCTTCTTGACGGTGTTCTCAGCCAGGCCTCTCCCTGGCCCACAGCCCCGTGGCCCTTCAGGTCTCTCGGCCTGCTCTGGCCTCAACCAGGCAGGTGTCACAGAGCTCTCAGCTCTGCCAGCGTGAGCCTGGGGCCTCCGTTCCACCAGCAACCCTCCTGCCTGAAGCCACTCAGCCCCCATCTCCATGGGCTTTCCCGGCCCACTGTGCCGGCGTCACGTGGATCTTCTGGTTCACCGCTGTCGTTTCCTGCCAGTACTTGGTATTACAGCTCCACGACCACCAACATGTGTGTGTGTCTGTCTGTCTCCCTCTCTCTCTCTGTCTTCTGACTCGGAAGGACAGGCTCCGTTCCCATCCATTTCTTCCTCTGTGGTATTGGTGATCTTGTCCCCTCTGCCACCTAGCAGCATGGCAAAGCTGACCGGTTCCTCAAGAGAGTTCCATCCACCTTGTTAGCAGGGCCCCACCCCCCAAAAGGGTGCCGCGCACTTTCTTCGCAGCTAGCCAATCCCCTGGGTGGCCGCAGGTCCCCCAGTCACGTGGTGCCCTTGCAAGGCACGAAAGGCCATGTCTGAGCTTTTGGCACCAGCGTCCACATACAAGCACTTCTGGGTGCCAGCAGCAACTCTTCCTGACTCCCCCCCAGGAAGTCTCATCCCCGCTGGCTAGTGAGGGGAGCAGCGCCCCTGAGCTAGTGCTTTAAGCTCCAGGGCACCCCTCTAGGAACCGGCCAACTGGGGATTTTGAATCCTGGGTCCCGACTCTTGGTCCCTGGCCCTGCCCTCTGTGTGTTTCCTCCCTACCAGGGTCCGGTCTGATTAGGAAAATACAGATACCGCCCCACAGTGATGGCCCAAAGCCCAGAGGGCCAACTGACCCTGCCTGTGAGTCCCGAAGGGCGTCTTGGAGGAGTTGAGACAAGAGGATAAGGAGAGAGACAGGCCCAATGAGAGAGAGAGAGAGAGAGAGAGAGAGTCTCAGGCAGAGGACATCGCCTGGGCAAAGGCAAAAGATGTGGGCGTGGGCAGGCTTCAGAACAAGAGGGGGAATTTGCGTTCCCTGCTCTGGGATCCTGCTGCCAGTGTGAGAGTCCTGTCAGCCTTGACAGGATCAGCTACCTCATCTTCCTCCTACAGAGCGGCTGGTGGGTTTGAACCACTGACTGTGTGGTTAGCAGGCCCAGCACTTAACCCTCAGCACCCCAGAGCCCCTCGGGAATGTCCAGGGAAGGACGGGTCCCAAAGAGCCCAGCAGGCACACTTGGGTCTCAGGAGATGGGTTTTCGTTGCTGCGTCGGCAATGGGAATGGGAGAGATCGTTGATGCCCAGGTGGAAGATGGCACACTTCAGGAAGGTGGGATCCTGGGCCGTCCCGTCCACAAGGGACCAAGACCTGCTACCAGTCCACTGAGTTGTTGTTTAAGATCCTCCTGTGTTGTTTGTTGTTGTTTTTTTCACAGTGTCATTCTCTACGTTATTTTTTTAAATTTATAATAATTTTATTGGGGGCTTGTACAATTCTTATCACCATCCATCCATCCATCGTGTCAAGCACATTTGTACATTTGTTGCCATCCTCATTCTCAAAACATTTGCCTTCTACTTGAGCCCTTAATATCAGCTCCTCATTT